CAATAGTCCCATTTCCATATAAGGTATGGGACTGATGGAAAGGTCTGTCACCACCCCGTTCTGCATGCTGCAGCTAAGTGTACCTCAAATAAGCTGTTTGGCAGAGAAAATTAGGCAAATTTTTTCATGTGTGCAACCCACATACTCGGCTGTACTGCTTATCCCACAGATGCATGTTCCTTACAAATGTGGCACAATTTAAAAGGGAAATTAACAGGCTTTCCAAAGATTTATTGCCAAGAAGTATTGTTACAAAAAAATCTACCAAAAACACATTTCCTTGCATTTTTCTTTCTTCTTTTTATTTTTGAGGGACCAGCAACATTTCACTCAGCTGGCCCAGTCCAGTCAGCTTCACTTAACTATGTAATGTTTTGTTTTTCACAGTTCAGTCGGATGCAGCATCAGACGCCAGTTATGCATCCGTCCCACCCAGGACCTCATCAGAGAGTGAAAACTCTGACAAAGCCAACAACAAACCCAAGTGAGGCTCACCTTACGCTTAGATGTTTACTAATAATTACTGATTAATTTTCTACAATATTTGAGTTCTAGACAAATGTTGTGTTTATGTGCAAGTTTAGTTAAATAATGAGTTCTAAGAAACACTATTCAAGTTTCCTAATTATCTCCTGCCACCAGAAGGTGTAACGCAGCAATATTTAAATTTAAATTCAATTAATTTTATTTATATAGCACCACGTCAAAACAAACGTCATCTCAGGGCACTGTACATAAAACAACCAGTTAAAGGAAGCCAGCTTCGTAGTGTCCTAGTTCTAGTGAAGAGGAAAAATTACTGTCTGGCTTCGGAGTATAACCTTTGTCATCGTACATCATTCTGTAACTTATTCAAAATTTACATCTTACTTATGCAACCCACGTTTGCCCTATTTTTTTTTTCATGCCGATACTGAACGTCACTTTGTGACAGCAGACCTCGTAGCTCCAACATTATATGTACAAGTTCAGCATAAGTTAAACTGTGGYTGCGCACAAGCTCTGCATAAGCCCAAGAAACGCTGTCATATGCTTGTCCCTCGCTTATACATAACTTACACCAGTGAAAGATAAGTTACTCATATATGTATTATTTCAACTTGTTAGCAGTACTATATGTCCAAAAGAGGCTTCCATGTGCAGTTTGGACAAATTTTTCACACATCTGCACAAGTTCAATAAAACGTTGTAGTAAGACGTTTTTAGACATCTTCAGGGATGACTCTTAGCTACTGCC